TAGTTGTCAGAGGATATTTCTTCTGTCAAAGATCGAGCATCCTAGGTTGATTTTCCCATTAAACCTCTACCAACAGCAACATCTATGTTGATCTTGGTTGGATAGTTGAGTTCATTATAGAAAGTTTGAACAACCAACCAATCGGGAAGGCCATGGTGGAGATATCTTATTTGAAGATCTTTAAATCTCTCCTAAACTTCATATAATGACTCGCCTTCATGTTGAGTAAAACCTGTGATATCCATGTGAAATTTAACTATTTTTTTGGGAGGAAAATATTTATTCAAAAATGCTTTTATCAACTCACCCCAAGAAGTGAAAGTATTAGGTAGATAAGAATTAAGTCATACTTTCGCTTTATCACAAAGTGAAAAAGGAAATAACCTTAACTTAATTGTATCATCACTTACTCCATTTATTTTGATTGTATCACATAAATCCATGAAATTAGCTAGATGAGTATTCGGATCTGCTGTTGCATTTCCTCCAAATTAACCTTGTTGAACCATTTGGATGAACGAGAGTTTGACTTCAAAGTTGTTTGCATTAATTGCCGGCCTTGCAATATTAATTTGTGCTCTCGATTCCTTTGACAAGGCATAATCCCTCAAAGGTTTTGGCCTTTGCTGCTCTATTTCGACGGGAGTTTTACCTAGACTTTCCATCTTAATTTACTCTTGTTGGGTGTGTCTTCTTCCTTTTCTCGCCGTATTTAATTCTTGAAGGTAAATTGTGCCTTTGATGAAGAATTTAGTACTTAGAAATAGCCAAAATTAACCATGGGTGTTTGTACCACCTAGTTATAAATAATAATATAGGAGGCCATTAGATGGTAAAACCAACCATATAGGAGGTATGTTGCAAAATAAATAAATAAAAGTAAAGACAAATTAGATTAGAATTGTTTAAAAATTAAGTGAGAAGATCTTAGGGATTAGAATCCCTTGTTATATCAAGATTAGAAATTAGTAAAGATGATTATGCTTATGATTCAATAAATTATCAAAGAATAACTTCCAAATGTATGTCCTTACTTTCGCCAATGGGCTTTCTTAAGAGAAACTACCTTGGCTAATTCCTCTAAAAATTACTATTGCCAATTTCTTTAATTTCTTAAATCATCCTTCACCCATGTTCATAGAGAAAATATAAGAAACAAGCTAAATAAATTCAATGAAGTTATTGTATGAATCCAACAAACTATTATTCACTACTTCCGTGAGAATAAGACTAATGTTTAAGAACTTAGATCTATTTCAAGGTAACTTTCATTGCTCAACAATTATTAAATCATTCATAGTTGATGGCCAAACAATTTGAAAGCATAAGCACAAGTTCTCAAACTAACAAATCATGAAAAAGCATGATCATCTCCTATCCAATCAAAACTACAAGAAGTTCATCTTCACTCTAGAATATGAAAAAACATAGCTCAACATCATATTAAGAACATCTAAGTATGAAACAAACTTGTAATAAAGTATGACAAATAAGAACAAGAAACAAAGTTTAGGAAGAAGAATTCTTATTCAATATCTTCAAGTTTGAATTTTTGAATTCCTTCACAAGTTGATCTCTCAAATAAATTTGGTATAAGGGTGTTTTCATCTTCCTCTCAAAACTCTTAAACTAAGAAAGAAACTCTCAATATGAAACTAGAGCTAAACTATTTCTATCTCTACTTCTACTCTATTCTACTTCTTACTACAAGGTGGAACAAGATGCTAAAGGTGCTCAAATGAATGAGATACAAGGGGTATTTATAGATATTTTTGGATGAGAAAATGAGCTTATAATGTGGTCCTAAAGTTGTTCTTCACTTTTCCAACTCAAATTTAGCTAGAACCAGCCAGATTTTATCAGAAAAATTAGTCCATAACGTAGTGTGAAACGAATACAAGTTGCAGAATCAACTTGTAGAAGCTTCTTAGGGATATACCTCACGGATCACCTCGCAGTTCTTCATGTTTTTCAGTTTTGCACTTTTTGCTCAAATCTCAACTTTGCTCTATTTTTGGACCAACTTCAACTGCAATTTTCTTGATGATGGAAGCCGAATTAGCTCTTGCACAAAATATGAAAGTTATAGCTCTTTGAATTAACTTTTCAATGCATCAAGAGTAAGCTTATTTGAATCTCTGTAGTTTAATGAATGACTAAAATACTCCTAATTGGTCGATGCTCTATTTTATCTTTTGACATAAATTTTTTCAACTGTATTTTGAATTTTGGCTAGGAAAATCAATGAACTGGATTTTGATGTCTCACAAGAATTGTAGGGATACATATGTCTTAGCTTTTAAATGGATTAGGAATCATCTCAATCCGGTACTTGTAATTCAAGATATTGCCAAATATCAAGATGTGTCAAAACTGTCAAACTCTTCTTGAGTTGAATCAATTCAAAGGATACCAAAACCTACAAAAACAACACAAATTTGCATATTAATCCAGACTTTTGCATGTTGTGGTTAAGAAACACTACTTGTATAAAAAACAACTTATAAAGGAATTCAATTCTTCCATTTTAACTTAAAACACACCAAAAATTTACCCTAAAACCTAACTAAAAATAGGCAAAATAAATGCTAATCACTCATCAACACTTCTCCTTCACAACTCCACCCCACCAACAATTTTAGCAAGATCTTCAAGGGTTTTTCATTGATTTGCAGTAATGTCCTCTATTTCTGGATCTTAGGGTTTCTATCTCATTTGTGAAGAAAATGATAGTTTTTCATTTTCTCTCTTTTTGTTTGGTGTATTTAATTAACAAGAGGTAAAAAAAAAAGAGTAGTTAAGTTTTGGATGGGTTTTCTAATTTAAAAGAAAAAAGAGAAATAGTTCGAAGGTGGGGCTTTGTTCAATTCTTTAGGCCCCATCGACATTTCTCCTTAGCAGCTCCACCCCACCAACAATCTCAACAAGATCTTCAAGGGTTTTTCATTGATTTGCAGCAATGTCCTCTATCTCTGGATCTTAGGGTTTCTCTCTTGTTTGTGAAGAAAATGATAGTTTTTTGTTTTTTCCTCTTTTTGTTTAGTTTATTTAATTAACAAGAGGTAAAAAGCAAAATGAATAGTTAAGTTTTGGATGGGTTTTCTGATTTAAAAGAAAAAAAGGGGAAAAGTTGTTAAGTGAAGTCACGTGACTGCACATGTAATGATTCCGTTAGAAAATTAAACGAAATCTATCACTTACCCAATTTTACGCAAAATTAGATAGATTGGGGATTACATTTGCTTTGATAAATAGATTGGAAACTAGATTTGCGCATGGGGACTAAAATTGTAACTAGTACACTTAAAATGGGTTGATTAATCTATGGATCAAATTCAAGAACATTTCTTCTTTTTTCTTATGTGAAAGGTAGTTTTCAATATTGTTTATGACATGATTTATGACTATGAAGATTGTATGATTAAAAACTGGAAACTTGCACTTGTATATTTTGTAAATAACATTTAATTTTCTTTTTTCATTTGTCTTAGTTCACAATAACTCAAAGGATTTTTCATTTACGTAATGGTTAACATTATGCATACCTGATCAATTACTCATTATTGAACGTAATAAGTGTCAATGGTTAAGCTAGAAGACCAATATTTAGAAGGAAATCAGAGTAAATAAGCTAGCTTATTCTATGTCATTCTAGGTCACTTGTTATTTTGTGTGTTCATCCTTATCCTCTCAACTTCCCCGCAGATCACTTACTAGGAGAGGTTTTCATGGATCGGGTCACGAGTCCATTGACACCCGATCCATTGACAATTTCACCGACTCTAACCGCAAATAGCAATTTGGTAAAATTGTATTTTATACCCTAATTCTATTCAATAGATTAACTGCTAATTGGTTAACTTGCAAGATAGGGTCAGGTATGCAGGGTAACCTAACCCTCTTGTACTTGTAGGAAAAAAGAAAAACAAAATTAGATTAACAAAGAAAATAACATAATAGTTGTCCAAATTAATAAAAAGTATTTAATCCTATAACTCTAAAAAAACCACCAACAAAATAGAAAATCAAAAGACAATAGATAATTAAAACATAAAATATTCCAAACATTTTCATTTTTTTTTCTACTTCTTGAAAACTATTAATTCATTTTTATTAAGGATGACAGGTTGCTTTACAATAAAAAATGCATCGTCTAAATATTAAAACCAAAATAAATAGCGTGGTGAAAGGGATAGAATTTATGAGAAATGAAAAGGAATTTTGAACAAAGAGAAAAAAATAGAGTCATAGAGTAAATGAAATTAGTGGCAAAGAAGATAGGAAATGGACAAAAGAAATGGAAGATAGGGTTAAATATATAAGTTCATAAGTGATGACAAATAAAATGTATAATGACATGTGGTTCATAATTTAAATTATTATTAAATGACTAAATAATTTTGGGTTGAGGTTTGGATACTGATTATTTTAACCAATCTTCCATACATGCGAGTAGGCTCAAGTAACAACCCCATTTTTTAAAATTGAAAACCATACCCTAACATAATTTCTCAAGTAGGTTCAAATAACCTACCCATTTTTAAAATTATGAATTGGCACCCTATTTTTGGGTTTGGACCAATTCGATTTTCTTGGTTACCCACCCTTTCAATTCTTTTTGAATAACCCTAAATGACATAATAGTGTACAAATATTCCGTTTAGGTTTAATTTATCAATACGGTCATATATCTCTTAGCATCCAAAAAAAAAAAAGTGTAGGGCTACAAGACAAAATTAAGTTACTTTTTTTAACCTTTGAACCTCATCCAAAAAAATTGCAATTAGAGCTAGAAGATAAAAATCAATGCTTAATCTTTCAATCGAGCTCCCCATTTCAAGATTGGTTCATAAATTTAACCAAACCAGACTCAAACAAAAGCTTTATGCTCATTAGTTTTGAAGCTCAACCAATTCTAAGTATAAAATAGAATTTGTATAAAAACCCAAACAACTTGAGGTCAACTCGACATTTACATTGAGCTGGATAGAGCAACCTGCTTTAACATCTCATGCTTTCCACCGCACATTCGGTTTTGTAGGAAAGATTTATATTAAAACCAAACCTTCCTTGTCCCGTACATGGCTAAACATATTTCATCATCATTTCATCTTCAAACATACCACATCAGCATAAATTGTAACAAATATCTCTCTAACAATGTAATATACCAACAGATTTCCTTATACAATGTGTCCCCTCCCCCTGTCCCTAAATCATGCTGAACAAATCCCACCAAAACAGATATTTCTATTTTTTTTAAAAAAATCATGCTCAAAAAATCCCATGTTACAAACCCCAATGCTAAATCCCGATTTTCTTTTGTACAAGGAACATCTCTCCAAATACTCACAGCCAATCTAAACTATGCCAACAATTCCAGCTACAACAGCACAAGTTGAGGGAGAACGATGCTGAATTTATTACCTCATTCCTCATTCGCCAAAGTTGATAGACTGTAACAGCTAGCATTAGCCTCTTCAAATTGACAGCAAAAACACTTGCCCTTCCAATGGTGACACATCCAATGTAGCTCATCAGGCCAAGCACTTGCATGCAACGTGATAAGTAAAACAAAAGGCCGGTACTTTCTGCAAGACATTACACACAGAAAGGATGATTAATGGTTTCAGCCTCAATCACCACATGAAACACAATTAGAGGGTGCAGCAATACCAACTCCTTAGCCTGTCTCTGGTCAACAGCTTCTTCTTACATGCAAGCCACAGGATGAAGAAAATTTGAGAACAAAACCTGTGCTTCACACCAACTGGTACCATTCAACTTTACTGCCTGGACATCTCAAGACACGAGGGTTCTATCGCTGATTTCAAAGAAACTGAACAGGTGTACTGGCAGTCCAGTAGATAGAATCAGAGCTATCAGGAAGAGGAACAAAGCATATTGGAGTAGCCAAGTTCAACCTTCTCACCTTGAGATTAAACTTTCTACCTTGAGGCCATTGCCAATCCCTACATTTAATAAATTGAGCCACTTTAGACCCTTTACAATAAGACCAAGAGGATGGAGAAATTTCCCACTGAACTTCTGGTGTGGAGGGCCTATAAGTTGCCAAAAATCAAACCAAAAACTCGTATTTTCCCCAACATCTATCACATGCATGATATAATGGTGTACCTAACGCCTTAGCTTAAGCAGTTTACACCACACCCAAGAACAAACAGATGGTCTCTCATTACTCGATGATGTCCTAACAAGAATAGGCATGATTGTATGTCAGATGCCATAACAGCATTTCCGCTTATTCAGTTGTGTAATGAGATCGTATCACTTGAGCTATCAATTGAGAGAAATTTCTTCATCATCAATCCAAATATTAGGCACATGAACTATCTTAAACCAGTCTTCACCTCCATCCTTGCGGCATCTTTCTGTAACCTTTGGACAATCTCTTAAGATTAAAGATTGAAGTGAAGGAGGAAGTTGATGTTCTGCATGCAAAGATTGCAGGGCTGCACAGTAGCTTATCTCAAGTTTCTTGAGTGCTTTAAAATGTGAAAGCAATGGAAGATCATATAATTTTGGGCAGCATATTATAGACATTTGAAGAAGGCATGGAAGGTCTCCATTCTCCATTCCGGTCCATTCTTCAAGGTTAAGCATGTTCTCAAGTGTCAATTTCTCCAACTTGGGAAATGCTTTCAAGCCTTGACTTCTGTAATTTCTGCAAAACAGACGGTTGATGTCTCTTAGGCCAGCCATACCAACTATTTTGAGGATACTCAAGGAGGGTAACTCTCCCATAGAGGGTAAAAGATAGCAGTTCTTGCAGTTGCAAAGGGTGATGCTTGCGAGATTAGTGAATGATGGATTACTAATCCAACTTGGAAGTAATGAACCATTGTAAAACAGTATCTGTAAGCTTTCAAGATTTGTATGTGGCTGAAGATACTCCAAGATCTGCTCTTCAGCCTTGGAGTTTTGATATCTATGTTCACCCCATCTTAACTCAAGTTTTGTTATGTACTGCTTGCTGTTTAGAGCAGCTTTCTTAGCTTCAACCACGTTTGCAACATTTTCAAGCCTTGCGATGCAAAATGTTCCAGTGATATTATCCAAATCTTTTAGCTCTGCAACACTGCATCCTTCTTCCCTTCCAACTAGGAATGCTTTCAAGGTTTGAAGATTTGTCAAACTCCCCATTCCTTTCGGAATGAAGTTTAATTGACGTACAATGTCAAAGTCCAAATGTCGAAGACTAGTCAGATTTCTCATTCCCGGAGGCAATGAACGAAGAGCAAAGCAATCTCTGAGTTTTAGTGTTTGTAAACTATAAAGGGTTTCAATTGATCTAGGCAAAATTCTAATGGGAGTATAAGAGAAGTCGAGGTAATGTAATAATTCTAAACACCCTATAGAACTTGGCAATCCTGATACGAGGGTTCCACTTAAATCCAAAGTTCTTAAACTCTTCAAGCATAGAAAAAGATCACGAGGTAGCTGATTGATTGAAGGGACACACTCTCCAAGAAATAGAAGCGTGCGCAATTGTTTGCAATTTTTAAGAGCCTCAAAATGACTTGAATCCAACTTTTGCAAGGATAAATGTAAGGTTTTTCTAGATATGTCCTCCAACTTCCCTTCCTCAAACCTTACATAGGATTCCTCAGAAAAACCTTGTTGAAAATACCACATAGAACACTTAGATTCATTAACCTTATACTTTTGCTGTCTATAGAGCTTATCGAATCTTGAGGGCACAATATAATCCTTATATACCAAAATATCAAAACAAATGCCACCCTGATTCTCCAGTTTTTCTTTAGCTTTGGCAACAATGAGTTCCTCTGCAATCCATAATTGCACCAACGTATCCTTCTCAAATTCATAACCAAGAGGAAACAAGGTGCAATATGTTACACACCTTCTGACATACTCAGGCAAATTCTTAAATTCAGCATCCAAATTTGTAGCAATCTTATTTGACTCTTTCTTCCCTCCTGTACAATATGTTCTCTTATCCTTGGATCCAGGTTCAAATGGTTCAAGTGGAGATTCTTTGGCCTTGGCTATTTCACTTGTCTGTTGATTTCTAGATCCAGTCCATTTCATTACAGTTGCCCGAAATTCCTCTGGTGATACATGAATTAATGTAGTGGGAACTTTTGATCTTCGATGTTTCAAAGGAGCATATCCGGATGTCAGAACAGCTTGCTTAGGCTTGGAAATTTGGTATCCAGTGACAAGCACTTTCGGATGATTTTTAACATCATCAGCTGACATCCCACCACCAACTACAGCTGCCACTTTTTCCCAACGATTGGGACAGTCCTCAGAAAACAACTGCAGAGCACTCTCAAGCAACTTCTCTTGAGTTAAAGTCCACGTAGTTGAAGAAGAGATGGGAGAACCAAATGATGGTTCTGAGGGCACCTGTTTGCAATTGGAAGAGCACAGTTTATTACAAAAGCTACACCTTGTAGATTAATTGCATCTACATTTGTGTAGATTATTCAATAGCATCTACATTTGTACACTTTCTTCTGGAGGAGATTAGTACTTGGTGTTGAATAAATCAAAAAGAGAATCTTCTTTAAGAGACTCATTATTCTGTTTCTTAATGTCTTTGATAGTTGATATGGTTTTAAGAGAAACTAAGACCCCTTAACTTCTGAAGAGATCAATAAAAATCTAAAAGTATCAACAAAGATTAACCAAGTGCAGCAGTACAAATTTTCCCACCATTTCTCTTGTAAGTTACCTACCAGTACTTTGATGGCTATATTTATAAAGGCCAACATGGTTTGATTCAATGGCTTCCGATTTATCTTGGACAATGGTTGCGCTTTGTCACAACTATATATACAAGTGCTAGCTTAAGTTAGTTCACAATTAACAGGTCTAATACTTCCATGAATTTTGATTCATTTTGGAAACTATCTTACACAAATAAGAACAGGAAATTCGAAAAACCAACTTGGGAAAATTACCGCACATAACATGATCTACGTATGCGAACTCTCAAATGCTTTGCTAGTTCTCACTGATTAACAAAATTATTTAGGCTAGTTATTGCAGCCTGAAATTTCTGGCTACTAGCTCTAGTAGTTTTCCTGAAACTTCCGAAAGCTATTCCACTATAATGTGAGGTTTACGTACTCTCTCATGGAAAAAAAGTTTCAACCAACTTAATATGCATAGTGTGATTCTGACTTTATTATGTCTTGATGTATGATATACATCAAATAATGAAAAAAAGGGGTATTTAATCAATATAACGGTCCCTTAGTATCTAGCAGTCACTTAACTTTCAAAATCAAAAAAAAGCAGAGAGATTATGTTTATGCCGGAGCCATAAACACAGATTTAAACTTCCGTCACTTTCAGAAAACAGTTAACAAACTAAGCTTCCTGTACCACAATTGCATTATAGAGATTACCGTAGATTCACCATAGTCTTTAAAATTTCCCTGATGCTGCTCATGTTCATCTGGAAAGTCACCCACTGAAGCCAACCTGTAGCCAGCCTCATTGCGAGCTTGTTCAAATTTCAGCCGATGGGACAACTTCTGAACCTGTTCCCTTTCAATTTCATTCACACATTCTTTCTCACGCCCAAATCCCCTCAGACCAAGTCCTCCTTGATGCCACCTGATTCCGGACTCTTCTGGAAAACTCGCAACACTGTATACCTTATATATTTTCCTGACCTGATACCCTCTCACATAAGCCTGCCAACAGATTTACTCTGATTAAGACGAGTATTTCAAATCTTTTTTAACTGAACCAGTTTCAAAGGGCTTATGTCATTTGGCTGCAAAGTTCTACATGACGACAAATTATACTTTGCATCCTCAACATATTCTTCAATATTCAGTCTCCGTTTTGAACTATTATGTTTTAAGCATCATGTTTCAAGAAGCAAGTAAATTTTTTTGACATTGGTTCTGAGATACCCAGGATTTCAAAATAAACTCTACTTTTTGAATTCAGATTCATTCTTCTCGGAATTATATTAAAAGAAAAGAAGAAAAGCATTTTCAGAAACATCCTAATAAACAACATAAAGAGTGAACTGCATAGGGCACTGTGACTAGAATATGACAATGAAAAAGCAAAGGAAGGTACTTTAATTCAGAAATTAACAAAATAGATTGGCGTAATTTCAATAGTTATAGCTGAAGTATATGTAAGTATATTACACATCATGAGATGTAAATGTCACCTGTATCTTTATCACTTTCTGCCGTCTTGCAAGAAAATCCTTGTGACCTTTCCAACCTCGATATGTCTTCTGTATGGATAAAGCAGCTGAGGTATGATCCCTTGAATCACTGAATGCCAAGTTTGATGCATCCAAAAACCCCTGAAATGACAACTTGAATGGATTACATTACTTTATGAATCTTTTTTATCATTACTTGAAGAATTACATTAACAGGAGCATGTGAACAAAGACTACACAGAATCACTTATTTCAACATTTATAAACAGAGAAATAGAGAAATAGTAAAACCTTTCTTCGAGCAGCATCCATCAAATTGTTTGCCCCGGGTTCGTTTTCAAAATTTTAAGAACGTATATGAATTACATTTTCATTCTTTCTTTCGCTTTCAAAAGTTTAAAGATTTATTACCACCAATAACAGTTAGGGCCTAATCCTAAATTTTAGCTGGAGTAACTATCGACTAGGACGAGTAAAAATTGAATCCAAGAGAGGATAGAATCAAACTCCACAAGTAAGCTTTTCTTAGTGAAGGTAATAAACTATAAGCAAGCTTCGTTAATTGAAGGTAATTAACTAACCTGGATTTTCCTGCTTCCAATTTTTCTGAGAAAAATAAAAGGATGGCCAAGTAGTTGCTCAACAGTCCATCTTTTCCCCTGATCTTTCTTCAAACAACACGATATAAAGTCAGCAAATTCTGGTGATGCTGTTGGAGGAGCTTCAGGTGGCTGTTCATGCCAGATTGTCTGCTTAAGTATTTCCCAGTCAGATTTTCTTCCACAGTTGAAGGGGAATGAGCCCAGATACAACTCAAGAATGGTTATCCCAAGGCTCCATACGTCTCCAGAGTACCCATTGTCCATTCGTTGGTTCAAATCTAAATCCAAGTTTTCAGGACTTGTGTATGCTGCCATTGAAAACCCACCAAGGAATGAAAAGATTGGTCCCAAAAATGATATCTTTATACCCTTTTGAGAATTCATGAAGATTTTTGAAGGTCTGATGTTTCGATGCAAAAGCTTTCTCCTATGGAGGTAAGCCAAGCTGGACAATACTTGACTGGCTATGTCTGAAAGTGTGGATTCCTTGGTGATATGGCTTCCCTCGAGGGTTTTGCAGTTCAAGTACTCAAGCAAGAGAAGAAAGTTTTCATCTTGATCAAAGAATTGGTAGAATTTAATCAAATTTGGGTGGTCTAAGTGCTTGAGGATGTTGATTTCATGGTGGATTCGTTCTTTTGAGTAGAAATCTTGAAAAGGGGATTTTCCTAATTGTTTTAGTGCATAGAGGTTTCCGGTTGGGTGATGCACAGCTTTGTAAACTTTGCTCCCTCCATCTCCTTCTCCAATCAGGCTTAGCTGCTCTAAATCATCAAATTCAATCTCTGGTGATGGTTTAGACATATCGTAGGAACTTGTTGGACTTTGAAGGTAAGCTTGAAATTTGTGAATACAAGAGAAGACTACGGAGCTTAGCTTGTTTGTATGATGGTCTTGGATGGATAGTAGATGCCATTACACAAATAAGGTAGAGTTTGACGACTTTTGGGATATGGTGAACGACGTACACTCCACTTGTGATTTTTTCCTTTTTGCCGTTGAGTAAAAAATCAAGTAGTGTAGTCTCGCGCTTGGATAGATCGGTTTCAAAGATTTAAAGGTTTAATTGTGTCACCATTTCAGTAAATAATGTGATACAATCTGGATGATTAAATCTTTGAAAATCAAATCAACTCAAGTTTTGGCCAGCAAAAAATATTAGCTCTGTTTGGATTAGCTATTTTTTGAAGTGTTTTTTAAAAACTTTACTGTAGTTGTATATATGAAAAACTTTTACTGTAGATGTTTTTTGATTGTTTTTAAAGGTATTTTTAAAATATATTTTTAAGTATTTTTATAATTTATAATTTTTTTGTAATTTTTTAAAATTATATACTAGCTATGTTTCTATTTATTAATATTTATTTATTTATATATATAATATTTTATTACTTCAATTTTGTTTTATAATATGTATATTAATATATATATTTATATATATTTATATATGTATATTAAATATATATTAATATACATATTATATTTATGAATTATATTTATGTATATATAAATATATTTATATAAATATATTTATATATTTATATATATTTATAAATATATTTTAAACAAAATATTTATATTTATATATAAATATATTTATTTATTTCAATTGATATAATATATATAATATACATATCAATATACATAATTGAAATATACGTATTAATATTAATATAATTTATATATATAATATAATATACATAATTGAAATATACATATTAATATATATTAATATACATATTATAAAATAAAATTGAAATAAATATGTTTATATGTTTATATAAATATATATAAATATATTTTAAACAAAATATTTATATTTATATATAAATATATAATATTTATTTCAATTGATATAATATATATAATATACATATTAATATACATAATTGAAATAAACATATTAATATTACTATAATTTATATATATAATATAATATACATAATTGAAATATACATATTATAAAACAAAATTGAAATAAATATATTTATAAATTTATATAAATATATTTTAAACAAAATTTTTATATTTATATATAAATTCCAGACGGAACGAGGGGTTAGCCCCTTAAACCAGAAAAGTAAAGAAAATAAATTAATTAAAAAGCATAAGAGTTAAGGAGTGGGTCACAGTCGGGCTGCCAATCAGTTAGAGTGTTAGTTTAGGCGGTTAAACCAGTCATGTATGGTTAGTATAAACAAAATAATTAAAAACAATTAAATGAATACGAATATAGGCAGTTCAGCCGACCATTTGATTGAATGAGATAAAATATGAGAATAAAAGAACTTACAGGATATGAAGCTTGCACAAGGTTTGTTCCTTTGTTTGATTTTAAAAACTAAAAACTAAAACCAGTTTATATAGAGAGAGGGGAGAGTTTTCATTAAGTCTAGAGAGAAGGAAGAGCTTGACGAATGGTGTTCAAAATTGTGTTCTGAATGGTGTGTGGAATATGTTGGATTTGAGGGGTATTTATAGCAAAATTTTTGTAGTGCTACAGTATTCGCTACAGTGTTTTGCTACAGTACCGCTACAGTGCATCGTTTGTCTTTTGTTGTCGTGCTTGCATAGTAACTTGTCGGACTGCTACAGTGCTTCCGGTGCTACAGTATTTGCTTTTTTCTTGTTTTCTTCTTTCTTGTTCGTTGTTTTGTGATCTTATGGAATTTGTGAGAAAATTTCATAACAGTCATCTTCATTTTCTGAGCCTTCATGTTCATCAAGTTTTGTTCCAGAACTGGAGGCCTTCTCTTTGTTTGAAGTTTCTTTTGATTGATCTAGTTGTAAAAGTATATCTTTCAGTTGTTTGATATACTCTTATTTGTCAGAGATTGATGCCAGCTTGGCTACTAAGATGGATTTCTGCTGCAAAAACTAGCTTGTTTGACTGTCTCCGGATTTTATTAAGCGAGAATTCCTTTGAAATCATGCCTGGATGTTTGCTGGTTGAATGAAATTTTTATTGAATGTTGGCCACCACTTTGAATATCCTTGTCGGACTAATAATGGCGGGAGTTATGTTTGCTTTATGTATTCGTATTTCCACTGGTAGACCCATGCTACCGAAAATATGGAAAAAAAAAAAGTGCAAGCTGATTGGTATATAGTTGTTTGGGGATTCAAATCTTTCTTTGAATAGTTTGTAGCTTTATTGGATATCTGGAGGAAGAATTTTCAGATTAGATTCAAGTGTTTTCCACCATGCTAGAAAATCATATTTGTTTGTTTTCAAAAAATAGAAAAGATAAGAATGTTGGTTTAATTCATTTTGGAAGGTGAATGCATAGAACCAGGCTGTCTTATAATCCTAATAAGTATACCCTGGGGGATTAAAGGAAGTGGTAAAAGGTTTGGGTTTGCTTAGGTTTGTTCCCTATTCTGACAGCTTGAGAACGTTTAGAATTTGGGCACTGAAATGAGTATTGATGTATTTTCCGGTAGGGTTTCCATTTTTGTCTTTCATCTATGTTTTGTGGGGTTTAAGGACCAGAGAATTTGAATCTGTGAGAATGAGTTTGTAATACTTAAGTGTTTTGGTAAGAGTTTGAGGTATGAAATTGTAAGTGTCTGGAAGAATAGTTCGGACCAGTATGTTTGGGTCATCATGCCAATAATCAAGTTCGATTTGGACCATAGGAATGTGGGTATTTGATTTGACATAGGGGCAGGAAGTTTTGTTTGGTTTTGGTTCATAGTTAGCTAGGGTCTTAGATTCCTGGATAACAATAGGTTTGGGCTGGGTGTTTTGGTCTAAAGCCAATTTAAGATAGCTTGGTGTATCCCAAATAGGATATCCCGGTGAATTACGTTGATATCCATGAGATTCAACCCATTATTTGAAATGGTCAAAATATTTTTGTTTTTCATCTTCTTCCTCGACTATGTCAGCCCATGTTTTTGGAGAGGCTATGGATATGGGTTGAGGTGAGGAAAGAATTTGAAATCTGTTTGAGGGTGAGTTTGAAGAGGATTGTTTTTTCCTATGGGATGGACTAGATGAACTTGAAGAGCTTTGTTTGACTGTTTGGGAAGAAGGCTCTGTTTGTTTTGAGGATTTCTCCTGTTGTTTCCTTTTTCTGGGCATCTTATCTTCCCTGCAAAGATTCTCTGGTTAGATAATCAGGAATGGAATTTGAAGATCCTTTAATATATTCAATGTCAAAATCAAAGATTGATAAAATTGTTTACCATCTTGCAAAAATTTGTTTAAAGGCAAGGTTTTTAACATCTTTTTGTAAAACATCTTTGGCTGATTTATAGTCAATCCGAAGTAAAAACTTCTGGTTTAGTAGTTCAGCTTGGAATTTTGTAATATATAAAACTATTGCTAAGATTTCTTTTTTGATAGTAGAATAATTTTATTGAGAATTGTTCCAGTGTTTGGAAGCAAAAGTAATTATTTGTTCTTTATTATTTTTTGTTTGTTTAAGAATACCACGATATCCTAAATCAGAAGCATCCGTTTCCACAACTTTTTGAGCTGTTGGATCTGGAAGAGCAACACAAGGAATGGCTTTGACATCGGTTTTGATTTTTCTGACTGTTTCTGTATAAACATCCGTCCATAAGGGTGGAGTAGTTTTTAATCTGTCATATAATGGTTTGGCTAGGTTACTGAAATTTGGTATAAAATCTGAGACATAGTTCAGATATTCCAAGAATCTCTGGAGTTGTTGTTTGTCAAGAATTTGGTCAGGAAATTTATCAGCAAACTGGATTGATTTGTTTATAGGGGTAATGGTTCCTTGGTGAATATGATGTCCAAGAAACCTAATTTTGGTTTGGAAAAGACTGATTTTCTTTTGAGAGACAACAAGGCCACTTTTTTGGGTAATATGAAGGAAGGTATTTAGGTGTTTGAAATGTTGCTCAATGCTTTCTGAGAATACCAGAACATCATTAATATAAACGATGATGACTGAGAAATAAGGACTGAATATTTCATTCATAATCCTTTGGAATTCAGAATGAGCATTTTTAAGTTCAAATGGCATCACGTTCCATTCGTAATGTTCAAATGGTACTGTGAATGTTGTTTTGTATCTGTCTGAGATATGAATATGAATTTGCCAAAATCCTGACATCATATCGAATTTTGAGAATATTTTGACAGAATAAAGCCTTTGAAGTAAATCCTTCTTGTTTGGTATAGGATATCTGATCCACCGAAGAGCTTTATTCAAGCCTTTAAAATTGATTACAAGCCTAGGAACTCCTCTTTCAATCTCTGATTGTTTGTTAACATAGAATGCTGGACAGCTTCATGGAGATTGACTTGGACTAATAATGCCTTTGGATAGGAGGTCATTAATTTCCTTTTGACAATGTTGGAGCAGTTCCTGATTCATCTGTATAGGTCTGGCTTTTGTTGGAATATCCTTCTTCTCAAAGTCAGGTTCATAAGAGAGATGGACAGTATGCTGTTTTCTTGTCCAAAATGCATTTGAAACTTCTGCACAAACCATTCCTTGGATTCTTGTTTGCAGATTCTGGATTTTTTGCAGGATTTATGGTTTCTTGAGCTGCTCATCTATCTTTTTGTAGGCAATTTCTTCTTTTAAGAAATTGATTTGCCTGTGTTTGAGGGATAGATAATTTAATATTTTTTTGAATTGTTTTTCTAGAGAAGGGTAAGAGCATCTTGCCCATATTTTTGGGGTACAATCCCCTCATCAGTGGTCAAATAAGAGATAAGTTTGGTAACAAAAGTTGTTCCAAGAATAACATTGTTGGTTAGGTCTTTTGCCAAGAGGAATGTTTCTTTAATGGATACAGAAGGAAATTGAACTTGGACATTTGAAAGTTTGAACTGAATGTTTAATTGGGATCCATTGGCTCCTCTAAAGCTTTCTTTTATTTTTTCAAAAAACCTTCTTGAATACAGCTATTATCCGCTCCTGTATCAAATAAAGCTTC